GGGGATGGATTGCCTCTTGCCAGCTCCTATTTGACTGACTGTCTCCTGAAGAAGTTCGCCGTGGCCGTGCGTTCGGGGAGGGAATAATCTGTCGGCTAATCATTTTCCGGAAGCAGGAAAATGCACTTTAGCTAATGCGGTTGTCCGTGTCTTTGAGGACCCTAATTATTTAAAAAGGCCCCTCTCCCAGCTGTGGGTGTTACTCCCAACAGCCACCTTGCTCCGTCTCCACAAGAAAGCACCACCCGACCTTGTGCCTTTTGTTGAATTTTTTTTTCACAAGATCTCATCCCTAAGCCGTTTTTCTCAGAAGAGTGGAACCCTCCACCCCCAGCAAGCTCTCGGTCCACACAGGTGTGAGCAGTTTTTTGTTTGTTTTTAACATTTAAAGACACTTTAATCTTAAGTCAGAATCAGTACATGATCTCACATCATCTATGTGGAATTGCACATAAAAAAAAAAAGTGGCACATTGTAGATGGATGCGATGGAAAATCTTTGTTGTTTTTTAAATTTTTTAAAAAAATTATTTTACTTTCTTATTGAATCAGTGATATAGACCCTCTCTGTTCATGATTGGGTTTCAGTTGTACAGTGTTCCAACACCCATCCCTCCACCAGGGTACATTTCCCAGCACCAGTGTCCCCAGGTTCCCTCCCACGACCCCCCACCTCCTACCCCCTGCCTGCCTCTATGGTAGGTGCTTTTCCTCTCTCTCTCTCTGTCTATCTCTCTCACATTCCTTTTGGGCATTGTGATTTGCAGTATTGATACTGATAGGTTATCAAGAATATCCCTTTACCTACTTTTAATACTCAGATCTTGAGGTGTGAGCATTTTTTAAGGGTCAGCCCCAAGTGGTGGTTCTCTCTGTCTGTCTCTCTTTGTCTCTGTCTCTCTGTCTCTGTCTCTCTGTCTCTGTCTGTATCTCTCTCTCACTCTCTCTCTCTCTCTCTCATGAACCCTCACTAAGACCCCGCCAGGAACTCCGTGCCGGAGGTAGTTATAAAATCAATACACAGCCTGTGGATGATGGCAGCTCAGCTGTCAAAATCGAGAGAGCCTCGACTGGAAGTAAGAATGAATAAAACTTGCTAGCTGACCGTCGCGGGCAGCAGATACATGCCCTGCCGTCTACCTTTTTTATTTTATTTTATTTTATTTCATTTTGGACTCCATCATGGGCACCTCCCATGGGCAGGTGGGGAGGACACCCTGCTGGGAACAACCTCCTAAAGGGAAGGCAGGCTCGGGGGTCCACGCAGGGAGATTCGGGTGGGCTGCTGGCCCCACAGCATCACCCAGCAGAGCCTGAGTGCGGTCATCATCCTTCCCTCCATACACCGGGATAACTGGGGCCCAAGGGGTTAAGACGCTGCCCTCTGGGTGGCCCTTTGTCCGAGTCCCAGGCAGGATTAAAGTTGACAAGCGCCAAATGTCTCCCCTTTGCCATCCCTCCAAGCCCCTCAGCTCTTTGCCAGGACCGTGGCCAAGTTTTGCGGGACCCAGGAGCCAGCCGGCTGGGCCAGCCGGGAGGGTCGGCGGAGAAGGGCCGGTGTCCTGGCCCCTGGCCGGGGCGTGGTGTCTGCAGAGCCGCGGGCAAAGCCCCGATGCCAAAGGGAAATTGCATTAGTGGGATGACAGGCTGGGGGGTTGGGGGATGCTCCGCCTTCTCCTGGGGGCTGGTGGGAAGCAGAGACATGGACCCCGGTGTCACGGGCTGACCTCTGCTGTCTCCGGGGCTCATCAGCGCCCCGAATCCCGGCTGGAGCCCGGCTCATCGAATCAGACCCGATCAAGCGAGCCAGCGGCTGGCCGGGGAACACCCAAGTGTCTTTAGGTCACGAAGGGAGGAGGATGGACATGGGGGGTGGAGGGTGGGGGAGGCGCCCAGCTGTCCAGCCCCCAGTCTCAGGTATATGCAGACACACAGACAGACACAGACGCAGACAGACACACGCAGACACACACAGACACACATGGATACACGCAGATACACACAAACACACAGACACACACGGACACACACAGACACACACAGAGACACATGGACACACACAAACACAGATACACACATAGACACACACGGACACACAGGCATACACAGACACACACGGCTATACACGGACACACGCTGACACACAAACATACAGACACACACAGACTCATACAGATACAGATACACAGGGACACACACAGACACAGACACACAGACACACATGGAGACACACAAACACACACAAGAGACACAGATACAGACACACACAGATTCAGATACACAGACACACCGATACAGACACGCACACAGATACAGACACAGATGCACACACGAATACACACAGTTATAGACACACAGACACAGAGAGATACACACAGATGCAGACACATAGACACACAGAGCTACAGACACACAGACACACATAGACACAGATACACATACAGACACACACACACTGATATGGACACACAGACATACACAGATACAGACACACAGACACACACAGACACACACAGATACAGATACAGACATACCCACAGCCACACACTGACACACAGATACAGACACACACAGACACACACACAGACTGTCAGACCCTTCCTCAGTAGGTGAGGGTGGACGGTCAGCAGGCCTTCTCTCCGTGGCCCCTTGTTCACAGTCCATAAGAAGGCCCAGGCCCCAGGGGAGGAGACGAGATGGTGTCCCTCCCATGGGTGACGGGAGCCCCGTGGGTGAAGGAAATAGGGAGGGGGGGCTGTCAGTGCTCCCGTCTCTCGGGGCTCACCCTGCCTGTGTCCCTGATGGAGACTGACCCCAGAGCTGACCCCACACCCACCCAAACGCGTAGGTGGGACGGTCCATCCTCCTTCCTTTGAGGGGCAAACAGATGAGCACCCACCTTGGGGTGGCCGAACCACCCGTGTGGGGGCCCGGTGGGGGACCAAGTGGTCCGGATAGATGTCCTAACAGACTACGCTGAAGGAGGCACTCCGGGGTCCCCATGCACACTGACCGTCCACTGAGGTGACAGGGCAAACGCGGGCACTGTGGCTGCGTCTGGGCTGGGACCATTATTTTTTGTCTGTTTGTTCTGTTGGGGGGGCACCCCCGGGGGTGCTCGGGGCTTCCTCCCTGCCCTGCCCTGAGGGAACCCCTCCTGCCGTTGGCTCAAGGGACGGAACCTGGGTTGGCTGTGTCAGCCACGTGCAAAGTAAGCGCCCTCCCCACTGTACAATTACTCTGGCCCTGGGCAGTGTTTTTTTTTGGGTCACACCAGCGATGCTCAGGGATGACTCCCGGCAGTGCTCGGGTGACCCTGTGGGATGGCAGGGATCGAACCCAGGTCAACCTCGTACAAGGCAAACACCCTCCCCACTGGACTGTCGCTCTGGCCCTAGCAGGTGCCTTTTTAACCTTCCTGTTTGAGGCTTTTGTATGCTGTTCAGAACACTTGTCCCAGGAACCTCCTCTGTGTGTGTGTCTGTGTGTCTATGTGTGTCTGTGTGTGTCTGTGTGTGGCTGTGTATATGTACGTCTGTGTCTGTGTATCTGTGTGTCTATATGTGTGTGTGTCTGTGTGTCTGTGTCTGGTTGTGTCTGTGTATATCTGGTTGTGTCTGTGTGTATCCGTGTATGTGTCTGTATGTGTGCATTTGTGTCTGTGTGTGTCTGTGTGTCTGTATCTATGTGTGTCTGTGTGTGTCTGTATCTGTGTGTTTGTATGTATCTGTGTGTGTGTCTATCTGTGTGTGTCTGTGTGTGTCTGTGTGTATGTATCTGTATGTCTGTATGTATCTGTGTGTCTGTATGTGTGTCTGTATGTCTGTATCTGCGTGTGTGTCTGTGTGTGTCTGTATCTGTGTGTGTCTTTGTGTCTTTGTGTCTGTGTATGTCTCTGGGTCTGTGTCTGTCTCTGTGTGTGTGTCTGTGTCTGTGTGTCTATATGTCTGTGTCTGTGTGTGTCTGTATGTCTGTATCTGTGTGTGTCTGTGTGTGTCCATGTGTGTATCTGTGTCTGTGTGTGTCTGTGTCTGTGTGAAGTCTGTGTCTGTGTGTGTGTGTGTGTGTGTGTGTGTGAGACTTGCCTAGTGCGGGCCTCCCTGTGCCGTGACTGACCCCCACCTGTTAGAGAAACCCGCGTCTTTCAGAACCTGGAAGAAGCAGAGAGCACCAGGCGCAGCGCCCAGCCGGCCCCCTCCCCTGCCCCTTCCCCGTGTTCCGACTGCCTGTGTCTGTCAAAGAGCCGGGTCCCTGGGGACGGGGACGAGTCGCTCCCCGGGCTCGCGGTGGATTGATCACTCCCCAGCTCCCAGGCCGCCTCAGAGTCGAATGAAGCCGAGTCTGGGCGGAACAGAAAGCCCTGCTGAGTACCGAGAGGCACAGTGGGAGGGGCCGCGTCTCGGGGGACGAGGTGGTGGGCAAGAGGGTCCGGGACGGAGGCTGCACGCACACACACACACACACACGCACACACACACACGCACACACGCACACACGCACACACACCACCCATTTCGGATGGGCCTGCGGAAAAGCAATCTGAATTCCCCAGGCCTGTCTCTCGGGTGATCTGAGGAGTCCCTGGGGGGGGGGGGGGGGGGTGTCGGGTCTCTCTGGAACTGCCCCAGATGCCCCCACCCCCACCAGGCGCTCAGCAGGGCCGAGTGTGGAGTGATGGGGGGGGGATGGAGCAACGCTGACCCATGGCGAGGTGGGGGATGGGGCACACCAAGGAATTAGGTGTGTGCGTGCGTGTGTGTGTGTGTGTGTGCGCGCGCTTGCGCACGCGCTTGCATGCAGCAAATGACCCAGCAGCCTGGCTTGGGGCCTGAGACCCGAGACCACCCAGGGAGCCTCCAGCAGAGGCAGTGGCTGGGGGCAGCCGCCCAGCCCCACCCCCGGCTCCCCGGGGGCTGCAGTTTGCTGCCGGGATGTGTGGAGAAAGCTGGCCTGGGGCGCTAACGCAGTGTGCCTCTCTCTCTCTCTCTCTCCTCCCTCCAGAGACCTGAGCGAGAACCAGATCCTGGGCATCCCGCGGAAGGCCTTCCGGGGCATCGCCGACGTCAAGAACCTGTGAGTGACGAACACTGCGGTAGCATTGGCGGATGGCTCTCGGGCCAGTAGGACTGGAGGGTGGGCAGGCGGGCGGGCAGGGAGGCAGCTGGGACTGGGGGACCTGGAGAGAGGCGCAGGGTCGTCATGCATCCCGGGACCCGATGCCCAGGCAGCCCCCGCAGAGTCCCGTTGATCCCACCCTGAGCTGTCTCCTTGTTTGAGTACGGGGCGAAGGTGTTAGAGCCGCACCCCCCATACTTGAGTACCCCAAAGTGTGTTGAGATCCTGATGGGGGACAGTGGCGGGGGGGAGGGGGCAGCATTGCGCCATCACCAAAGTGCCGGGCGCGTGGTGGAGGAGGAGAAGGCACGTGCGTCGTGGGGGGCCAAGGGAGTGAGAGACGACAGCTTGGCGGGAGTCACTTGATGCTTGGGAAGTTCCAGAAGCCAGAGAGCAGGCCACGTTGTCAACTCCACGCTCTCCCACCTAGAGCGTCTTGGCTGATGCAGCCCAGTGCCTGAACCTGGAAACGGGACGCAGGCCCACCCACAGAACTCGTCCTTCCCATTCCATGTCTGTGGGCACCTTGCCCTTGGCCCTCATGTCTGTGGGCGCCATGCCCATGGCTCCCATGTCTATGGGCACCATGTTCCTGGTACCATGTCTGTGGGTGCCATGCCCGTGGGCACACAGTGCTCCCGCATCTTCACACCATGCTGCATGTGTGCAGGAATTTCATGGGTGCGCAACCCGGAAGGAAACTCCCCTCCTTCTCCCGAGACCCCACCCCCGGCCCCCGCCTCTCTCCACCAAGCAGCCGTGTTTACCTCTCGGAGACCACGCTCCCCTGCACCCATCTTCCGGGAAACCCGCCCTCCCACCCCCGTGCTCTCTTCATCCCCACTGGTGATTAAAACACACACACACACACACACACACACACACACACACACACACGCTATTCCGGTTCCAGAGTGTCCAGCATAGAAGGAAACGATGGCAAGGGACAATCCGCGGGTGGGACCAGTCCATGGGACCAGTCCACCAGGATCCCCAGGAAGAGGGGAGAAAATCCCGGGTCTTTTTTTTTTTCCCCCTCCGTAAGTCTTAGCATGGATTTGCATGGCTTGTCTTAACATCTGCCTTCAAGCAGGAAGAGACTGGGGTCTCCCCGTTTTCCAGAGGCTAAAGGAAGATCAGCCTCTGAAAAATGTCGAACTCAGTCAGCGTGGGCACAACCTTCCCCCGCCCCGCCCCCCTCCACACACGCACACACGCACTCAGCCAGGCCAGGGACGGCCGAGGCAGCTGGCCCTGGGTGCAGGCCAGCTCCTCCTGACCCGAGACAAGCCGCAGCCTTTGCCAACACCAGGCAAGGGGCTCCTGGGGAGATGGGAACCCAGGGGGAACCCGGCCAGCCTTGGCGCCCTGCCCCCTCCCTACTGGGCGGCCGCATCCTCAGCGGAAGGGAACCCCTAATTGTTTCCTGCTTCTGCAGAGAATAGAAAGTCATGAGCCGGGGATACCGGGCCCTGCCTGCCCTGCCTGCCCTGCCTGCCCTGCCTGCCCTGCCCTGCCCTGCCCTGGGTATTTCTAAAAGCCGCTTTCTGCACTGACTTCTCTCTGCTGCCTGGCTGGAAGGAAGCATGAGCGTGTGTTTAAGGAGAGCCGGGCTCCTATCGCACACATTGATGTGGGGGAAATCAAGGCCCTCAGACTAATCTGTCTGGAGATCAGCGCTCCACACACCTGGATTAGGCTGGCCTGCTGTGTGCCAACGCAGGGCAAGGGGCTGGATAAAGACCCGGAGAGAGGGGCTGGAGCGATCACACAGCGGGGAGGGCGTTGGCCTTGCACGCCGCCGACCCGGGTTCGATTCCCAGCATCCCTTAAGGTCTTCCGAGCACCGCCAGGAGTAACTCCTGAGCCAGGAGTCATCCCTGTGCATCGCTGGGTGTGACTGCCCTCCCCCCCCAAAAAAAAAGTCCCGGAGAAAGACAGGACCAAGAAGAGACTGAGCAGCCCCGAAAGACAGCTCAGGGCAGGGGTGGGGAGTAGAGGGGGGGTGAGAAAAGAAGTCAGAGAAAGCCGAGAGCGAGAGGCAGTCCGCAACCTCTGGAGAAACAGCCCGGGTTGCTTTCAGGGAGAGGCGGGGCGGCAGGGAGGGACGTGTCCCCTCCCCCTGTCTTGCTGCGTGGTTCTGTTTTCCTCTGTTCTTCAGGTCCTATTTGCCAGGCTTCTGTAGGACGGGCATTCCAGAAGGGAAAAATCAATAACCCCTGTCTCCGCCGGCTAGCACAATTCGGAATTGACGGCTTCAAAACAAAGCCGGGCCCACGGCCTTTGTGTTCTGCCGCTCGTCTGCGCTGTCCCGCCGCTTCCCGAGATTAATGAGGGCTGTCTCCTGTGGGCGGCTGGGGCGGGCGTGGGGGGGCGGTGGGGGGAGCAGGCATGATCTCGTAGGCGGGGAGTGGGGGAGGGCCGTGCCTCCCCACTCATTCAGAGGGAGATTCCTGGCCGCTCAGCTGGTGGCCAGCACACCAGGGACAGAGTTCTGCACCACCTGGATCCTCTCCCCGCCCCCCCCCAACACCACCACCTCACTGTCCTTTTAGCACCTCCAGCTACTCCTGCCACCGGGCCTTTGCACCTGCTGCATGTTCCATCGAATGTATCTGTTCGTTCTGTCAGTCTTTAGCAGCTGTTCCAGAGGTGAGGGGGAGGAAGTGACAGAGAGAGGAAGTTCCACCCTGGTTCTGGGAGAACTCCCTGGCTAGGGCTAGGAAACCCAGCAGGGGGTAAGGACCTTGTGGGCAGTGAGGATGCTTGTCTGCTTCAGGCTTCCGGCCTACGAGAATGACCTGAGTAGGGGTCCTCCCGGGGGAAGGCCCGGGAAGCTGGGGCCTGGGACGGTCTTGGTGTTTCTCCCATTCCTTGCTGGAGAGGTTCCAGAGTGCAGAGCTGGATGGGGGATACAGGGGGTCTTGACCTCGGCTGTGGCCCCCAGAGCACTGGGCGTCCATCCGCCGAGGGCCTTTCCACAGAGCCATGCGGGTCTGCATCTCACAGACCCAGGAGGCGGTTCCAGCCACAGCCCACGGATGGACGGTGGTGGACGTGGATGGTGGCAGGACCAGGGCTGAAGTCAGGCAGCCTGGGGGAGCCAGCAAGCGGAGTAGGCCTTTGGGGGGGCGCATGCAGAGTGGACCCCAGGGGCGGCAGGCAGAGTGGACCCCCGGGATAGCAGGCAGAGTGGACCAGGCAGAGTGGACCCCGGGGGCAGTGGGCAGAGTGGACCCCAGCAGGCCATAGTCCTCTGCAGACCTGCAGCACTGAGCCCCTGGAAGTGGCCTTTTCATTGTGTTGGTTTGCCCCCCCCCCCCCCCACAGACTCTGCACTCAGGAATCAGTCCTGGTCGCCTCCAGGGACCCTGTGGGATGCCAGGGGTCAAACCCCGGTTGGCCGCATGCGGGGCCAGCACCCTCTCCGCTGAGCTCTCGTGCCTGGCATCTCTGGGCAGAGGGTCCGCAACCCAGCAACCTTGAGAAGGCCAGGCCGCACCGTTGGTGGATGCCCTGGAGAAACGGTCACCTGGAGGGTGACAGCTGCCACCTCGCACCGTTCCTGGGGCAGCGGAGGGTCCAGCCACCCCTCCTTGGCGTCCCCGGTCAAGCGTGGTCCTCAGAAGAGCTCCTGGAGGGAGCTCTGCTGACCCCCAGTCTGCAAGATGTTGCCCAGGAAATACACACACACACACACACACACACACACACACACACACACTGCTCAACCCCCCGTCCCTCTGCCCCTCTCCTCCTTCCTCTGCCGGTCACCTCTGGCCCTTTGCCCTGCCAGGCCCAAAGGCAACTCCTGGGATACGAGGATGCTCAGGAAACAGGATTAAGACAGTGTTGTCTGCGGAAGGGCTGGAGCGATAGCACAGCGGGTAGGGCGTTTGCCTTCCATGCGGCTGACCCGGGTTCGATTCCCCTACCCCTCTCGGAGAGCCCGTCCCTCTCAGAGAGCCCGCCAAGCTACCGAGAGTATCCCACCTGCACGGCAGGGCCTGGCAAGCTCCCCCGTGGCGTATTCAATATGCCAAAAACAGTCACAACAAGTCTCACAATGGAGACGTTACTGGTGCCCGCTGGAGCAAGTCGATGAACAGCGGGAGGACAGGACAGTGCTGCAGTGTTACAGTGTCTGCAGAATTTGCAGAAGGAGACAAAGAAGGTTTAGAATAGGATGAGGACTTTTCCCCCACGCCCTGTGACCCCTCCCCAGCCCACTTAGCTCCCTCTCTGCCCCTGGCCAGCAGTATAAATGCTCAGTAAGTACCATTGATCTGTTCAAGCAAATCTCCTGAAATGAGGAAAACAATAGCCTGGACAGGTAAGTGAGACTCCGCTGGTCTGGAAAGCTAGGATAGCGTGTAAGCCACGAGCAAGGGGTTGCCTCTGGAATTTGCGCTGTGGCAAGAGGAACCACACACATACACACACACACACACACACACACACACACACACACACACACACTCCTCCTAGGATAGCGTGTAAGCCATGAGCAAGGGGCTGCGTTTGGAATTTGCGTTCTGGCAAGAGGAACCACACACACACACACACACACACACACACACACACACACTCACTCCTCCTAGGATAGCGTGTAAGCCATGAGCAAGGGGCTGAGTTTGGAATTTGCGTTCTGGCAAGAGGAACCACACACACACACACACACACACACACACACACACACACACACACTCCCCCTACCACCGGCCAAGTCCCAGAGGTCTCAGCTCCTGATGGGGTTATAGGCATGTCATAGATGCAGAACCAGGTGCAAGGCAAGAGCCCTGCCCAGCAGCCAAATCCTAAGTAGGAGTGAAGTGAAGATTTTTGTCTGTCTTAGAGCTGTCCCACGCTGCGTAGGTATGTTTAATCGGTGCACAAGACCTGCCTGAGCATCGGAGGAGAACATTTCTTTCTTTTTTTAAATTTTTATTAGTGAAACA